GGCTCCCTGACAAAGCAGCCATGCATCTAGCTGCCCTTCTGTGACAGAACAAAATTTCCATTTGCAAACACATCGCAGTCCTGCCTGAGACATAAAGAAAACAATAAAATATCCAAAAGAAATAACCAGAGCTATCGCTTGTTTTCCTCTGGGCACTAAATAATCTTTCCTCAGAGTTTCTGCAGCCCTGTGCTGCCAGGAGAGCACACACCGCTGCACTGATGGCTGTCCAAGGTAATTTTGGCTGGCTCAGGCTGGACTGAGCCCGACAGCCGTAGTTCTGGCTCTGCGTTGAGCTTTTCTTTCTGCTGACTGACAGATGGGTTCTTCCGTGGTGCGGCTTCCCTGGGCTAACCCGTGGTCCGTAGGCAGCTGCTTCCTAGGAGGTGTGGGCACACGGAGCTTCTCCAAGCCCTGCCTGTGACTGCCCAGCTAGGGCTGATGGGGACGGTTGGGAACCACTTCTCTCTTTACGCTTCTTATTTAAAAAAAGGGATACGCAGGTCATGTTGGCCCGTGTGACGTGGCTTTTAAAACTGCTGCAGATGTCCTCTTTTGCCGTAAATTCTGAGAACTGAATAGCTGACGCTTTCTTGCCTCTTCTGGGAAATGCCTCTTTCTTGAGAAGAGGAAGGAGTGGTATTGCAAGGGTAAAGTTGTTGACCACAGAGTTGGTAAAATTGGTTGGGAATAAAATGCAGAACTTGTGAATCCCTCCCTGCCCCAGAGGTCTGAGCACATCTTTCCTTCACGGGGACTTTGAAGTGCTCTGAGTGTCATGCCGCGACCTGAAAGGACAGATGTTCTTATGGTTGTTTCTGTTCTCTGCTAAGTGGCTGGGACAGGAGGAGGGTGAAGGACAGGGGTTTACTTCTAAAGGGCTAGATCTGAAGTAAGATGGAATGAGAGCAGGCTGGACTGCGTGGCCTGTGTGTGAGTGATGCGGGAGATGATAATTGCTGATGTGATGGAGGGTTTCTATAAGTTCTCCTACCGAGCTCCAGGGTCCGGAGCGGCTGTCGGGGTTCTCAGGAAGCGGCTTGGGATGGATCAGGTTCTGTAGGACCTGGCGGTCCTGGAGCCTGTGTCCAGGACCAGCTTCTGAGCTGGGACGCTTGCTGGCAGCCCTCGTTGATAGCAGAGCTCTCTTTCTGGAGATAACCCCCTTATTCTCTGGTATTGCACCACCATCTAGTGGTAACAGCCTCCAAAGTTCTGGCTTCAAGACTTTACAAATTTTTTTTAATTTTTTTTTTTTCCCCTCTCCTTTTTTCCTCCCCAGAAACGATCCCAGCCTCTGGAGTTTATCGATCCCCTGGCCAACAAAAAGCCCAGGATCTCGCATTTGGCTCACAGAACTCAACCCACTTTCAATGGGAAACTGAATTCCTCCAACGGGAAGGATGCCCCTGCCCCTGCCCTGCCGCCGGCTGTCCCGGAGTCGGTGAGCTCCAGCTCCAGCCTCCCTGTGCTGGAGCTGCCGAGGCCTCACGATCCCCTTTCGGATGTCAGCAATGACCTAACTCACAACGGCAGAGACTGTGAGAACCCGGAGACGGCTGACAGACTGACTCATCCTTTGTCAACAGACTGTCCCCAAACGAGCAAGCACAATTGCAGCTCGTATGTAAAAACCAAGAAAAAATCCAAAAAGCACAAAGACAAGGAAAAGGAGAGAAAGGAGAAGAAAAACGAAGAGAAGTGCAAAGAGGAGAAGCAGGACTGTGAAGTAATAAAAAATGCTGACTTAGTTAGTGTTCCCCAGGAGCAGGTCACAGGTATGTATGGTCCGAGAGGTCCTCCTGTATGGCTCATGCTGAAATAATACTGGTATCAGCTGTGTATGATTTCTGCTCTGAATCTGAGGAAAGAGGTTGCGCGTCCACTTGCAGAGACTGTGTGGTTAATGAAATATCATCACTGTCCCTACCTACAAATCAACAAATGCTCTTCCTCTCAGTAGAGGATATCAGGTTTTTCCTGTTTAACCTTTCATGCTGTTTGGAACTGCCTCAGACCGTGTCATGTTTCTCCTTCTTAAATTAAAAGCCGTATTAATATATGGGCATGAAAGGCAGACATCAAGATCTGTTGGAAGAAGCAGTGCTGCTTGATTACTTACAGCTCATCTGCTTGTGTGTGGTATTGTGATGACTGTTGTATTGATTTTTAACTCGGTAATGAAAAGTTAGTCACAAAAGCTTTTAATATCAGATACAAAAGAAATGATAGATAAGTCTTGTGATAAATGCAGTGTACAACCAGCTCTTTCAGGCTGAAAGAGCTTGCTTGTCGTATCCCACTGTTACGCCGAATTTCTTTCTTCGAGGGCTGACACGACAGTGAATCTGTTGCCCGTTGATGTGCCATGAAAATGTTTTCCATCAGACCAGTGTATTTCTAAGTCACTTCTACCTACTCTTAGAAGTTAGAGCAGACAATGTACGTTGGCTAATCCGATCCGTTCCCTTGCCTGCTGCTTTCACGGTTTTTGCTGTTTCCTTAGGCTTTGTTTCAACTCCTCGGAGCAGTGGGACTTCCCCTGCAGCCTCTAGGAACATTGCAGCCCCGATCTGTTGTTAAATTTCTTTTTGCATCCAACCTTTTTTCCTTTGCCCCACCACTATTTTCCAAGTTCCTCTCCATGCTTGGTGCATGAAAATCATCCAGTTCTGGCTCAAAAAGGACAGTAACTTGAAAGGGAAACTGATTTGTCCAATTCCTGGAAAGGGAGAGCTTCACAGGGCATTGGGGTTACTACGATAGTAGCTCTTGCCTTCCCCACAGTCTTTGTAGCACCTACAAAATGCACTTTGATTGCTCACCGGTGATTTTTTTTTTTAATGACAGTCCACAGTTCTGATCATTGTGTGGCGTTGCAGAACCACGCTCTTTAGATACCTCTTCTATTTTGGTCTTACTTTTGTGTCAATCCTAGTTTTTTTCTGTGAATGTTGTTTTTCTTCCCCGCGTACCTTGTGTCTTGAATGGTAGTGGATAGATCCACACACTTTCTCTTGCTAGATGTGTATATTTTGTCAGTATTTCCTATAAATACCAAAATACCCTGAATTCTTTCTTCATGAAGTTGCTGACCCTTTACCACCTTTTCTGCTTTGCTTTAAAAACAGTGTAATGACTGGGTTTTTGTTAATTAGTAGGAGTCGGGTTTTGTTCCTGTTGCACCACTGATGTATGCGAGGTAACGAATCCGAGCTGGGCTTGGGAGTAATCATAAACAGGATGTGGTCAGTGGCTGCTTGGATCCAGCCAGCTCGCGTCTGAATTGGGATCTTCTCCTTCTGCGCCTTACTTCATGCGGATAGCACGGGCCTCATCCTGCTCCTTTTGTCTGCAGCAAATGGCTGACGGCCTTCCCTAAATCCCCCTTGGGCCAGGGGCTGCAGGGAAGGAGAATTTCTCCTGGGAGGTTTGTTCGAGAGGCGATGGAGGGGCCTTTGGGGTCCTTTCAGCAGTCAGTAGGTGGCACTCATAGGCAGAACAAACCTTCTTTTCTGCTCCTCTCCTCCACCGTCTTCCTTACCCACGCTCTGCATCTTTCACGCTGGTGGTCAGGTAAGGACGAAAGCAGAATTGTCTGCGGTAGGAATTTGAGACTGGGGTGTTTATAATGACACTGGGTTTTTTGCCGTTCTTCCGTTCTGCTCAGGAAAGCCTTTCCATGGAAATGCAGAGAAAAATTGATTTTTAAAAAGGTATAATTAGGTTTTTGCTTTTACGTGCCTATGTTTATTACTTGGGCATTTCATGCTCCCTACCGTTTATCTGGGGTAGTAATTGTAAAGTAGTAGCGTAGGTGAACGTAGGGATGGGCGAGGCTTGGGGCTGACACGTACCTTTCCTGTGCATCTGGGGAAACTGCACCATCAAGGTACTGCTTGCTCTAAGTAACAGGCTTGGAAAGAAGAGGAAAGAAGTAGTACGGTTTTGCAAAGTGGTTAAGTCTTTTGCAGCCTTCTCCACTTGCCTCTTATTTTTCTGCCTTCTCATGGATGCAGTTGATGTTCTGATTAGGACTTTCGGTATAATACACAGTTTAAGAGAAATATCCCTTTTCAAATATGTATCCAACTGCTTTCTTCCTCCAAACTAATAATGCAGTGTTTGGTTTACAGTGAGGATGGGGTCTGGTTTAGGCTCACGTTCAGAATCCCATTCCTCCTGATGTCTTTGGTCCCTTCACTTAAACTCCTAAACATTCTTAGCTGAGCCTTGCTTGATTCGTGTTTCTTCAACTTCATGGAGCAGAGAGCACTTTGATTTGTCTGCAGGGCGGTAGGGCGATGTGAGGAAAAAGCTGCATGCCTTGTAAACCTCTCTGTTGTACCCTGGAGGAGTCTGGAGTATTAATAGTAGGGATCTGAACCTGGAGTATTAATAATGTAGAATGAGGAGAAGAGAAGGTGCACCATGCTTAGCTCTGTTCTGCTCATCTGGACTCAGAAATTTGCTTTGTGCTTTAGCAGTGGTGATATCAGTGTTATCCCGCCCTGCAGGCAGTGTTTATAAACCAATTAAATGAAGGTTTTTTGCTACTCGGTGTGTTGGCTAATGTTGATACTGTTTTGCTGACAGACAAATATTAGAAAAGCCTTGAAGTTTCAAGCACCTTACTGTGGATCTTCTATCTTTGTCAGCAAAACAGAAATCCTTTAGAACTTGATAAACTGTATACTGCAGATAAGTTTATGAATTCGAAGTTTAATTGTGTAGAGCTTTAAAGTTTAAGACTATCCATAAACAAGTTTTTATCTTTTCAGGTTTAAATGGAACATGCAATAATTCTAGTGTACCAACGTCAACTTCAGAAATGCCAGATTATTTATTGTAAGTATATTTATCTATTGGTTCGTCACTTTGGGATTGCATTTCAAGCTAAAAATCAAAATGTACTGGGTTTTTTTGTTGGACTTTATTATTACTTGATAGAACTTTGTAAGGTGGGTTTAAAAAAGAAGAAATCCAACTTTGCAGATAGTTCCTGAGACTAAACTTGATGTCAGATCTGTTCGTTACCTCCTTGTGGAGTTCAAGGTTATCTTCCTACAAACCGATTGCTAAAGTACTGCAAGAAACATTGCATACCTTGAAGGGGTTTGAAAGGATTAGATGCCTCTGTGTTACAGTTGGAAACTTTGAGAGAAAATGATCTGCTTTATTGTTATGGAAGATAAGGCAAGAAAGAATTTTGAGAGGTTAGCTAATTCTTCCCCTGTTCAGAGCCAAGATCATCTACATAAACCAGTGGAATATTCTTCATGGGGAGGTTACAACCTGTGGGTTAGGATGTGAGTTGTTTCACCTCTTGACTTCTTAATCAGATCCCCTTGAGGTTAATTAAACAATATACTTGTCTGCTGAAGCACAAAAATCTCTGTGCATAAAGCCAAAAATCTACATAAACCCAAAGCTGTTATAAACAAAGCTCTGTGATAGCGAAGAAGTGTAGCTGTGGGTGATAATTCCCTGTGCACGTCTCGGCCTGGGTTTTTAATGCCATCAGATCTGGTTTGGCTGTGCTGTGATCACTTGGAGGGAAGAGGAGGAGGAGATGGCATCCACTCTTGGCTTTGGAGGAGCAGTCACTGGAGATGACTGGAGGATATACAGGGTTCTTGTATGGTTACAAAACTGGCTGGGCTATATGAACCATGCAAACAGCCTCTTCAAGTTGACATTTTTAGTACCACTCAGAAGAATGCGGATGGCTGGGTTTTTTTTTCTTGCAACAGATGTGCTGATCCCTCCTATGCAGGGATTTTACAGCTCCTCAGTCCATCTCCAAAGGTTTATGGTGGAAGGTTTATGAATTTCTATAAGGTCTGTTGTCTCACCTTTTGGTACGATCGGACTGTTTTGATGGTCAGCTCCTTAAATTATAAGAGCTGTCACTGTTGTTTTGATCGTGGAGGTGTATGTTTCATACTGGTGAGGACAATATCCTTATCTCATAGTGTATCCTGTGTAGGTGCTTATTTATACCAATCCTTAGCAAGGAGTCAGTTCTCGAAGGCTAGAGCACATTTAGATTAGTGAATTGAAAGTTGTCCCTTAATTTGGTACCTAAGTTAGCTTGTATGTGTCCACGCACCAAGCGGGCGCTGCTGCAGGCAGAGTAAGGTGGCAAATTAGAGTCGTCACCTACAAAAAGATGAGTTTTACCATTCGAGAGGACTGGCTGCTGGACTTTCTGCAAAATGTCAGGTTTAATGGCTTTTTGTTGAGCTGAATAACTTTCAAAGGGCCTCAAAAGCGCATCTGTTAAACGTGAGCTCCTGTGTTCCGTTCACATTGGGTATCTTCAGAAGGTAGTGGAAATATAGTCAGTCTATTCAACATGGTTTCTTGTCGTGCGCTTGCCACATAGTCGTACTGTGAGCATTTTGCAACGATAGCTGAATGCTCTTTGTGTTCCTTTAAAGACTCTTAACA